AGAGCCCAGTTCTGTGTGAATGACAGGTAATTACAGATATGAGTAGAAAGGAACAGTTTGCACCCAGTGGTTCATGGGTGAGAATAGCTATGAATCACAGGCTGGACAGTGAAGGACAGGGTGTCCCCACTTTGGGCTGGGACACACTCCCACTGGTCAGGCTGGGCATGGCCCTCCCTTCTCTTCTGCTCACTTTTCCTCTAGCCACTGCTACCTCCTCCCAAAAGGCTCAGATGAGGGCATGCTGTGTTTTCATGTCCTTTCTGGGGTTTCTGCTGCCTTGCCATTTCTGATAAGAAGGCAATGTCCAATCATGCTATGAGATTGCTTAGCTCGGGCAATCTGTAAGCCCAAGGAAGCATCAGGTCCCTCAAATGACATTCCATGAATAACTAGGGACATTAAAAGAATGAAAAGGCAAGTTTAGTGCCAGGATATCTCCCAGGGCAAACCAGTGTGCATCCACAGAAGTACCTACTTCACCAGAGCTTCTTCGCTAAATCACCAGGGTGAAATGGTGAGAGTGTCTTTGATGAATTACCAAAGTGCAGTCTTCCTCACAAAAGTGTACCAACCCGGGGGTGAGGTACTTCCATTCTTGCTTTATCTTTGTGAATTGGGCAGTTTGTCCCAATTTAATGTAGAATCATTCACCTATCAGTCTGTCCTGTCCACTGAGATTCCACAAGGAATGGTACAAAAGTTATACAGGAAATCTCATGTACTTTGCTCATATGAGTTCTCTTAAACCCTCATTCAAAATCTCTTTTACTGTACATATAATTCTAACATACCATATATATATATTCCTGAACACGTGGAAAGGTGGGAATTTGGACTGCCTAGTAAGTCATCTTGAAGCAATCAGACATGCCTGCTGAAAGGGATAAAAGAGGGAGAAAATGATTCAAAGGCCACCCAAGAACTCTACAAGCTGCTGTGTCTCTTGGTACAGGGTACCTGCATCATCCTCCAAAGCAAAACCTGACATTCACATTGACAAGCATGGGTCATATGCAAATTGTAAAGTACAGTGTCTTCTGTTTAGTAAGGCAGGGTAATGTCATTCATGCTAGAAAGTTTTCTACCTTAGGAGCAAAAAGAAAAAATTTGATGCTTCATTTATTAGGAAACATCACTTTTATGGAGAAACACTTTGCCAGAGTTCTGCAAAGTAAGGTGTTACTGTGTGTTTCACTTAGGCGTTTGTCCCATTGGCCATTTGCCGACCTAGATGTGTATGGGGCCTCTACCCCCACCTCCTGTGGTCCAGATAATAACCCAGCTGAGGTGAGGCGGAGGGAGCAGGAGTAGGGAGAGGGGTCTTCTGTCTATGGGTACAGTGACCAGAAATTACCAGCTTATGAGTGGCACTGATGAGGAAAACCTGCAAGTGAGTGCTGTAGGAGCTTCCTAAAGTGAGAGCCAGGATGTTAGGCCAAATCTGAGGCTAACATGTATACAGCAGGTAACAAACACTATATGTCACCCTAAAGGTTGTGATACAGATTGAAAATATAAGTTGTAATGAAGGTAAATTCAGAGTAAGAGCTAATAATAGATATGCTGGGAGAGGGCTGATGGTTTAACCACTTTGTGAAATATTGTGTGCTCCTTCCCTTCTTGGAGTATACCAACAGGATCTGGAGTAGACAAAGTACTCTAAGAACAACTGCATTTTGAAACCTATTGAATTTTTCATAATTCAGCCTTTCTTATGCTTATATATCCATGGAATTTGGAGGGTGGAGCAACAGTGCACCTCCCCGCTCCAGGCACCAGCAGTTTGGGAAGTGGCTGGCTGTGATGTGGCTGCAGCCTATGCACAGTGGGGTGGGGGGACACCAGGGATCTTGGAGGGGATGTTCTGGGTCCTGAGGCTACTACAAAGGAGGATGAGAGGCCCAGGTCCTAAAATATAGCCTTTGGTCTGCTGGCTAGACATTGGGGTTGAGCAAAGGGGCCTGAGCTTAGGAATGAAGCACCTGTCCATCATCTCCCATGGGTCCAGCTCACACCTCACCCTTGTTCGTTTCAGCATACTGCCGCCAGCGCTGAGGGTGGAGGCCAGTCCCTGGTCTCACCTGGCTCCTGCCTAGAGGATTTTTGTGCCACTCCTTTCATTGAGTGCAGTGGTGCCTGCCACTACTTTGCCAACAAGTATAGTTTCTGGCTGACAACAGTGGAAGAGTGGCAGCAGTTTGGGGAGGAACCTGTGCCAGAAACATTGAAAGCCAGGCAGCACCACACCCGAGTCAGCTGCTGCCAGGTGTGTATGAAAAGTATATAGGGTGGCCCCTGCCACTCTGCCCTTTTCTCTCCCTTCCCCCACACAGTGGTCACCTCACAAACCCAAACCATCTCAAAAAGGAAGGCCTCAGCCCATTTGCCTATCTGCCAAGTTGTACACTGGAGTCTTGTTTGGCCTGGACTACTGGACAGTAGTTACGCCAACCCTCACACCCAGTGGGTGAGCCCTCCCTGCTGAAATCTGCTGTTCCATTTCCGTCAACTTGGTGCTACTGTTTAATTCAGATGTTTGTGTGACTATTCATGGCTACCTCAGAAAAACCAGCTGGGCTGCCACTTTCTTAGACTGCTAGCTTTCCTCACTGTCTTGATCACAAAGTGTTTCTATAGTAGCTGATAAGACATTTCCTTATGTCCAGAGGTCACCACACATTATTCGGCTTAAACCAGAACCCAGTGTTTCCACATGAAAAAAAAATTATCTGACTGAGCATTCATGGATAACTCAAGTCTGCATAGACAAGCGCTTACTTTTCAAGAAAACCCACTGTGACTAGGCAGGCAGCAGAATGAGAATGAGGTGCCAACCAGTAGCCCAGGGTGGGCTTTGACTCCTTCAAGAGTGATCATGCCTGGTCCCATATTACTTAGGGAAGTTTAAAGGCCAGCAGCCAAAAAAGGCTCATTAACTTCATATTGTCCTAGACAAATTACAGCCTCTTTACTGTCTCCCTGCACAGGCAATGACTATGACTTGGCCCAGTCCAGAGTAGAGTAGAGGATGCACCAAATGTGGTGAGGACCACGTAGAGAAATGAAAACCACAGTCCTTTCTCCTAGGCCAGGGGTAGAAGGTTGGGTGGGTAAAGAGGTATGAAGTTTACTTTTGACTCCAGGAACAAAAAGGTAAATCTCTTGTGCCAGTTTCTCAGAAGTCCCTGTTTAATTCAAATGCCATCCAGATATGTGTAATGTGGCAAACTGAAGCTCCAGTTTGTTGGTTCTTTTGCATTTTGAGGCTGTTAGAGGCTTTCCATTGCAGTGTCCTCCCCATTCCTCTTTTATAGGTAGCCTGTTAAGCTATTTTAATACATTTTTAAAACCTAAGTCAAGCCTGAGTTGTAAAGTGTATTATATTCTGTTTGGGGGGATTTATTTTAATGGTTTTCTTTAATTATCAGTTTCCCAGAATACTTAGCTATGTTGACATAAGACAATTCCTTCCAGATGACTCTATTTCCTTAACTATTATGTAAACTATGCCATGCAAACAAAACATAATCAGTATATTATGAATCATTGTTACCTTCACCTCTTCTCTAAGTAATAAGCATGGTGTCAGCTTTGTATATTGCAAATAAAGGAAATTAAATATGAACATTTGACTCTTGATGTTCTTTGATGAAAACTTGTCTAAAGTCCATCTCACTATAATTCATGAGTCCCTCTATGAGCCATTGGGGCTCCTGTTACTGCATGTTGAGCTTTATAACAAAACATTGATGTAGGAAAAAATACCATTAAAGTCAAAGGACAGAAGGAATTCTCTTCCAGGCAACAAATCTACAACCTATTTCAAACGAGTCTGTAACTGCTTTTAGCCCCATCACATGCTAGAGTTCAAGGAAGGAATTTCCATACTTTTGGGACCTCTGGATCACTTTCAGATAAATTAACAGTAGAAAAATGTTAAAGTCATTAAAATCAAGTCTAAGATATATATATATATATACACACACATATATTTGTATAATATATGTATAAAATATATCCACTAGAAAGATAAAAATTAATAACATAGTAAATCAGGGAATGAAACTGATATATGGGAGGGAGAGACATTTCATTGAATAGTATTTTGAATCATTTGAACTTTGAGCCACTGGAATATATTACCTACTGGGAAGAAAAGGAAAAATTGGAATCTAAGGAAACGAGTGCTATAATATTCTTACATATGCAAAAAACCCCCACAAATAACCTTTATTTGGTGCTAGCCTTCAAATTGCAGGCCTTCCTCAGAACTTTGTTGAGGATGGAGGTGACATGCATACTCACTAAGAGGGTAAGAAAAAACTTGGAAGACACTACTGCGACTTGAGCTGCATCCACACAGGTGAATGGGTAGCAAGGGCACTATGATGAATATGTGCTTTAAAATTTAATGTGTTGCTAATCCTTAAATGGTTTGGAATTGTATTTGATACATATATTAAATGTCACCACATGAATAATTCTTTCTAATATGGCTATCAACCAAAATAGAGTCTAATTCAATTATAATTTCTAATTTCTCAGACAAAGATCAATATTTTAAGTCAGTGATTGGCAAACTACAGCCTATGGGCTAAATCCACCATCCACCTGTTTTTGTAAATACAGTCATATTGGCTTACAACCAGGCTCAGATTGTCTATGGCTGCTTTTGTACTTCCAACAACAGTTAAATAGCTATGACAGAGGCGGCATGGCCTACAAAGCCTGAAACATTTACTAGCTGTTTTTTTACAGAAAAAGTTTGCTGACCTCTGATCTAGGCAATTGTGATTTTATTTAAGGACAGGGTGATGTCTGACAAAAATATCAGTAAAGAAGTGGGTGACCCATTAACTAGTAAGTTTTCCCCAAAGAGTCAGGAGATCAATAAATCCACATTTGATGTAATTTCTTTGACAAACTTTCTGATATAAATTATAATGAAGTATAATCCATCAAAATACATATTCAAATAATTTTACAAGAACTTTTTCTCCCTGATGTAATCACTTTATTATTAGAACAAAGGAATAAACTGCTTCTTAGTATTTAGCCCAAAAGAGGTCACACCTGAAAGGGTGAGGAAGCACAGTTAACCATATCTTATCTGCTGATGCTTGAAGCAAGATGGGAACTTCTGTCTATGTTCCAGATGTCCACCTCCTCATTTCAGTAGTGGCAGACTCCCTGTGGCTATGTAATACAAGCTGGGAAGCAAGGGATGACTCCTAATCTCTTTGCTCCTAGATTTTATAATTGTTCTAGTTCATTCTGGGGAAGGGTTATTCATTGTTTTTTCTGAGGAACAGTGATTGGCTCAGTCAGGATTGATTGCTATCACATTTGTATGCTGTTGGCATAACAGGCACTTGCTGACTAGAAAAGTTTTATGCACTGAGTTCATGTTCTTCTAGTACCAGATCAAAGACACACCTCAGGTTGAGTTCCTACTATTCTTCTATACACTCAGAATCTCAAAATCTTCCTCCAGGTCAAACTCCTCTAGTTGTTCAGTAGAGTCAATGAATTCTGTCAGAATACAGAAATGAGAAAGAGTTGAAAAGCTTGATGCTTAGGATGAAGTTCAAAATATTACTGAGTAGGAAAGACTATGCATTTTTAATTTGTTTGCTAAAGAAAAGCTGTTGTGAAGGAGGCTTACAGATAGGACCACTGTCAAGTATTAGAAATTCTCTATAAAGAATCAAAATAATCAGACTTTTTACATATTCCTAATCGCAGTGATGAGGATGAGGCTCTGTAACAACTTGGAGGCACCTTTTGACTCATTCATAGCTTTTGATTTGTTACTCTGAACCAGAGCATGGGGAAAAAAATGTCTAGTCATTATGATTTTACATGGAAGTTTTACGTTGAACTCATTATCTGCTATTAGCATTCTTTGAAATTGGTATCAGTTTATCAGAGGATTCAAATAATCACAAGCACCATTTCTTGATTAGTCTAGACAATTGCTTCTGTCTCATAAACCAATTGCTACATGTGGGTCTGCTAGTCATAGAGCACCTGAACAACCACTTACCTGCCCCAGTGGTTGTCACCTCTGGTTTGGCTGGAGGTACAAAGGGAGGCCAGTGTGATGGATGTTTCTGAACTAATTCAAACATCCTTAAGTTTTCCTTTAGAATTTCCTGAGGAGATACAGAAACAGCTATAAACACTGCAGAGTCACTATATTTCTGTCCAATTGGCAATCTATGACCCCAAGCCCTAAGTGTCCTAGTTGTGGAAAGATGAAAGCAAAGGCCAAGCAAACACAACCATGTTCTACTTGACCATCTAAAGGCCCAGCCCTCTTCAATTCTAGAACTTCCCAGGAAGGAAGGCCACTGAAGGGAGTATCCAATCGAAGGCCAGTACTCACTGCCCAAACTCCATCATAAGGTTCGGGTCATATGCCAGTTCCATGGGCTCAATTCAATTTAGGGGAGAGATGTTCCTGAAGTGTTGGCTCCAAAGAAATGTTGGTTAATCAAATAAAATCTGCCCCAAGGAAATACTGGTACATATTGGCATGGTTTCCATTTAGTCCAATACTTATGGTATACATCCCAATTTAAATGGCATAGTCTTATCAGAAAATTTTTCTTCTAACTTTAAATGTGATATAAACAGTTTTGCTGCATTCTGAAATGGAAGTATTACTTTTAGGAAAGGATTCTTTATGTCTCAGCTAATTATTAACTGGGGTTTCATATTCAGCTAGGGACATTCGTGTTATTTGTTCACTTGTGAACAAAAATCTTCCTTCCTTAAACCTGCAGGAGGATCTGGGCTCCCATCTCTCCAATCTCTTTGTTTTGCAGATAGGAGAACATTGTGTCACTTGCCACCCCATCCAGAGCTCTACAAACTACTCCCTATGATCTCCCTTCATTTTTTAAATAAATGTTTATCAATCTTCCACATATTTGGCATGTGTTAGAACAGGGGTGTAGAACTCATTTTCACTGGGGCCACATCAGCCTCATGGTTGCCTTCAAAGGGCCAAATATAATTTTAGGACTGTATAAATGTAACTATTCCTTAACAGTTAAGCAAGAGCTTGGCACTGCCAGCAGGTAGAAACAAGGTGCCGGGTCAGATAAAACAAGGTAGAGGGCCGCATTTGGCCCACAGGCCTTGTGTTTGCCAACTGTGTGTTAGAAGCTGAGGGTGAGAGAGGCAGAAATAAAGATTGGTGATCCAGCAGCACAATAAATACTCTTACACACACACACACACACACACACACACACACACACACACACAAAGGAACAACTTGCTTTAGGATTTACACAGATTTATGTAAACTGTAGTCTCCTTTAACTATCAGCATGACTATATTTTATATAAATCAGGCAGTTAATAGAAAGGCAAGTCCTCTAAAGCATGAGTGTCCAATCTGTGGCTCGTGGGGCCACAGGTGGCCCAGGGTGGCTATGAATGTGGCTCAACACAAAATTGTAAATTTACTTAAAACATTATAAGACTTGTTTGTGATTATTTGTTGCAATGTATTTAATGTGTAGCCCAAGACAACTCTTCTTCCAGTGTGGCCCAGAGATGCCAAAATGTTGGACACTCATGCTGGGCCTACACCATAATGGAATACATTAAACATAATTGGACCACTATATACATAGCAAAGTAGTTTAGTTTCTCAACCATCTCTGTCATGAATAGACTAAGGAAAAATTTAGGCTGAGCTATATTAAATTGTCATTTTAGGTTAGAATGGTAGAATATTAGTTGAATATTTCATGACTTAATATAGCTAAAACATTGCTCACTTGACTTACTAAGCATATTTCTAACAAAAGATTTTCATTGGTTCCCCCAAAGTTATGCACAGTTCCCCACATCTTAGTTTCCTTTTCTTGCAATGAGGTCATATCAGGCTAGGTTTGTGTTACTATGGAAAACAATCTCAAAAAGGAATCACAATGAATAACTTTTGTTTTTCAAGACTAACAAAAACATATATCCTTACCTTCTGAACAAGGTTACACCAGCTATCAAAGTCTTTTTCTTCTTTGCAGAAAAATCCCTTGGGGGGAAGCAAAAGAACACAGTTTAGGACTGGTCAGGTGGAGCCTAGGCCAGGTAGCTCAGTTGGTGAGAGTACCATCCCTATATGCCAAGGTTGTGGGTTCCATCCCCAGTCAGGACACATACAAGACTCAACCAATAAATACATAAATAAGCCCTGGCTGGTGTGGCTGAGTGGATTGAGCACTGGCCTGTGAACCAAAGGGCCACGGGTCTGATTCCCAGTCAGGGCACATGCCTGGGTTGTGGGCTAGGTCCCCAGTGTGGGGCACTCTAGAGGCAAGCGCACACTGATGTTTCTCTCTCTCTCTCTCTCTCTTCCTCCCTCCCGTCCCCTTTCTAAAAATAAATAAATTTTTAAAATCTTAAAAAAAATAAGTAGAACAACAAATCAACATTTCTCTCCCAAAAATCAACAAATAAAAACAAACGTAAAGAACAGTTGAGGGACACCAACAAGGGTCCCCCTGTACTGTAAGATGGAGCCACTGGCTCAGAGTCACATGTGGGATGTGGGCCACTTTCCTTGGATGTGATTTCCCAACAATTAGGAGGAAGAATGACTAGGCTTATCTCTCTCCTAGATTATTGACACAGTTGGATACAAGCGTTTGCTCATTCATTCTCCCCCACCCATTCCTCTCCCATCTCTTTTTGTCTGTCCCTCTCCCTCTATGTCTCCATCTCCCTCTCCCTCTGTTACTCCTGTGTCTCTGCTTCTCTCTCTTATTCTGTCTCTTTCCCTTTTTCCCTGTCCCTTTCCCTCCCTATCCCTCTCCCCTCATACTGTAAATAAGATATAGTAACTTAAAGCCCAATCTCCAAAATGTGGGATTAATTCCATTACATTCAGTTTACAAATATACACATCTATAAAGAATAGTAAACCAGTAAACAAAAGCCAAATAGTACTTCCAGGTAGAGGCAATACTTAATAAGTTGGCTTTGACCTTAAGGAAATTATCTATTATAATAAAGAGAACTATCAGCCTCCTTCTCCATCCTCAGAGCTATTGTACTGTACTGAAAGAGTGGTCCAAAATATGAGAAGGACTCTTTGGACACTGGTGCTCTGAAAATTGGATTAAACTGGAAGAAAGGGTAGAGATAGACCTCAGAACCACCAGCTCCTTCACAGGCAGCTACCCCTTCAATGTATGTAAACAGCATTGGTACTTCTGGGGAGGGGGAAACCCTGCAACTTTCTGGATTTGTGTGCCTAGAGGAATGGACACTGTCTACCCAGGGGGCTGTGCCCTCTTCACCATCCCTAGCTATGTCCCTTTGCCTGTGTGGCAATAATTAGAGGGTGAGAAGGAAAAGAGGAAAAGATGGTAACATTAATAATAAATAACATTTATAGAATGTTTACAACCATATAATTTCACTTATATATGAAATCTAATGAACAAAGTGAACTAACAAGCAAAATACAGACAGACTCATACATAGAGAGCAGGCTTATAGCTGTCGGGGGTTTAGGGGGCTGGGTGGGGTTGTAGGGGTTGAACAAAAAAGAAAAAAGACAGAAAAACTCATGAATACAGACAACATTATGGTGATTGCTGAGGGGAGGGGACGTGGGGGAAAGCAGAAGAAGCTATAGGTGGAATAAACGGTGATGGACAGAGACTTGACTTGGGGTGGTGAACACACCAGTACAGTGTACAGATGATGTGTTGTGGAACTGTGCACCTGAGACCTGTATAATTTTGTTAACCAGTGCCACCCAAAAAAATTCCATAAAAAGGGGGAAAAAGGAATGTATGCAATGTTCTAGGCACTGTGCTAAGTGTTTTATGCACAGCATTCTTCACACAACACTACAAGGAAGAAATTTCTGTTTTAATCATTTTAGGGATGAGAAGACTAAGGCTCAGAAAGGTAAAGGGACTCTTCCTAAGTCCATAGCTAGTAAGTGGCAGGGCCTGAATTCTAACTTGAGTAGTTTGGCTTCAGGGTCCATTCATTTTCCACTACACTATGCTACCTCTCCTGGGGATGGTAAGTGAATATATTATGCCACCTTACCTAGTTACCTGGATAACCCACAGGGAACCAATCTGTAATAGGGTGGCAGTGTATCTCTTGGCATACCTTCAGATACCCACCAATGCCACAGAAGGATCCAAGTTCAGAATGCTCATTCGCTGTGGTGACTGCAGACAATGGAAAGTCTGATCATCAACCATTCCATTCTCTTCAGTGTCAACAAAGGTCTGGGTTGTGTGAGGGTCCAAGAAAATGAGCTCATCACCTGTTGGAATAAGACATGCTTAACCCTCAAAGAACCACTGGCTCTGGCCCCACTGTTATCCTCGGGAGGAGGCACTCTGGTCTCCCTAACCCTTCCCTTGGTGACAATGAAAATGAGATGACAGAAAGCCTAAAGAAAGGTGAACATGCCTAAGGAAGCCACCTGTACCCAGATCTATTCATTCAATGAGAAGACTTGTCCTAGCATTCATATCTCCTCATAGTCCAAGTCCACAAGTAGAAAGCAACAGATTTGGGAAAAGGTAGAAATGAAAGATCACAGATGACGTGGCAGGCTCTGTGAGCAGCAGCAAAGAGGTTGTAGGTAGAATCACCAGGCTGTGAGTTCAGGTGCTATTAGGGGGCTTCCTGCCCCTTTCAACATTGGAAAGCATCTCTTTCCAGACCATTGGTTCTCATACCTATGGTCAGAGAGTGCATCTGGTAAGGAGAAAGACCTTGGACTCTAAAGGAAATGGGGATGCTGACTTGCTGTAGATGAAATATGAGGGAGCTGACTCTGGGTATTGATGAGCTAGCAAGCTAGTCATTGTTATCTAGTTGGTAATCCCTGTTAGAAAACACTGCTTTGGTCACGTGAACATCAGTACAGATACAGCTTTATGGGAAAACTCACTTTGAGATGATTAATATTTATAAATGAGAGGAAAGTCATGCTTTATTAAATTGAAAAAGCCTAGCCAAATAATAACCTTGGAGGGCTTCAGGATAATAACATTTTGACTTTTATCTGATATTCAAAGGGCTGAGACTCCCTCTAATGCTCACCAGCAGCATGCTGAGTAGACAGAAATACCTCAGGGGGGCACCCTAACCTCACTGTCCAGGCCTGAAGACCATCTGGACTTCTGTGGTTTAGACTTAGTTAGGCAGAAAAACACAAAGAACTAAACTTCTGTGGTTTTTAGACTGAGTTAGGCAGGAAAAAAAAAGAAAACCATGTGTAGCAGGAGGATGGGGTAGGAAGGGATGCGCTAAAGACCTTCCCTGCAATGGCATTCAGGAGTGTGTTGGGCACATCTAAGTGCTTCTGTTGGAAAAGAATGTGTTTCTGATGCCTCATGAAAACTTAACCTGTCTCTATCATAGACCTAGAACAAGCCTCTTAAATCACTGTCTTAATTTTCCTGTTTTTAAACTGGGGTCATTGGGCCTGTTCCAGTTACCTCATAAGGTATTATAAGAATGAGAATTCACCTCTGTGGAATGCTAAAACACAATGCAAATACAAAGAAGTCATAGAAGTATCTTGCTTAGACTCAAATGTATTTCCCTACAAATAAATGTTGGAGAGTATATGGAAATTAATGCTGCCATATGACATGTTCCCCCAGACCGTAGGTGGGTGAGATTAGTCAGAAACAACTAGGATGTTTAGAGGGAAGTCTACCTGAGACCATAGAAAGGTAAGAGGAGACGGAAGTTGTGCACAAGAAAATACAAACCCAAAGCAGGGTTGTAACCAACCAATCTGCTAGTGTGTTTCAAGTTAAAGTGCTGGGAATAACAGCAGCATCCTCTCTGCCTCCAACCCTTTCATGTGTGTATGTGTGTAGTGGAGCTGTGCGGGCTGCCTTGTTTCTGAGAATGCTTAAAAGAGTTCTAGCAGAAAATCTAAAAAGTTCTAGGAATGAGGTGGGAACTAAACCAAGGTCTCTAATGAGGCCTGAAGAATAGAGGCAGGCTGGTCAACCAAATGCAGACTCAGGCCTCACACTACAGATCTCCAGATGGCAGGCCCTACTGCCCCACAGGAGACAAACATTTCCTCTATATGCTGGAAAAATCTGACAGTCAGAGTCTCAGTTTAGTCAGAGTCTTTCACAGCAAAGCTTCTCCCAGCTACCCACCAGACAGCAGGGCACTAGGGAACCAATGTGGTACAGTAGGCAGGGATGACCAAACTGGGGTGTAATACTGGCTTTGCTACTTTCTAGCTGGGTGATCTTAAGGAAACAACCACTCTAAATCTTAGTTTCAACAGGTGTAAATGGAAACAACAATCTCTACCTCAAAGGGATGTTATGCTAACTATATGCATCTATGTATCTGTATGTATACATGTATATCTATACAGCTATATATAATTATCTATATCTGTACATCTATATATAACTATATACTTATATCTACATATCTATATCGATGTATTTATCTATAGCTCTATATGCATATATAACTACATATCTATATCTATACATCTATATATAATGATCTATCATCTATCTAAAGAGGGAGAACACTTGGCAGAGTCCCTGACACAAGACAGCTGTTCAGAAAATGGCATTTGTCATCCATTCCTTCCCTTCAGACATTCTACCAATATGGATGCCCGAACCTAATACACTAAAGGGGTGAGTTGGGGGAATCAATGGGACTTTGGAGCCTCAAGTGAAGATTAAACAAAGGATTTTTAGAAGGTAGAAGGCACTATGTAAACCTCTGTCTCTGGAACTAAGAATTTCCCACACCTCTTTCATGAGTAGTCAAACTTTATGAAGTTGCCCCAACCCAGTGGCCTCAGGAAACAAAAGAACTTCATGGACTTGGTGAATTCTGTCTGGGTAACTTGGGATAAGGAAGACTAGGGAGCCCAGGAGTCACATACACTATTTACTGAGATCCCTCCAAAATTATCTTCCAGCTTGTTTCAACTTTGTCCTCAAGCACATATAATAAGAAATAGATTTTTTGCAACATTTATTTGACAGGAACCTAAAAGCTTAGAAGCAGAGGACATTGAAATGTATATAACTATGCTTTTGTACTTCAAAACCTCCCAATTTTCCACCAAGTTGTAGTTCTTAGGCTTGACCAATAGAAGGGAGCACTACAGACAGCTGAGGCAACTGTGTAGAAACACCAGCCTTAAAGAGAGGAAGAAAAACAAAAGAAAAAAGATGTTGAGGTCAGGCAGGGTGCTTAGCTCTTTACTGAGTGCTCTCCTGAGTGACAACATGGTGAGTGAGATGTTAGGCCTATTTTCCATAAGAAAAGCCTAAGACTGAAAGAATTGATACTCTTCTGATGGTCACAGTGCTAGCAAGTGTGAGACTGGCATGTGAGGCCAGGTATGTCTGTTTTCACTCTACCTCACCTCCCTGCATCTCCAAGGAGGAGATGGTAGAGGGTGACCAAGCCCACCTCACTCTGTCCTCTGCACATCCCTCATATCATTACCCACAACTGCTCTGGCTCTCCCTTGCCATTCTAAGGCTGTGCCTTGCAATCTTCTTCGAGGTCCAGTTTTAAGCCACTCCACTCCTGCAAGAGGGGTCCTACACCAAATTTCCCTAGCTGCATCACTCTCTTCCTGGGGCTCTTCAGCACTAACCATGTGTCTATGCCCTTGCTATTCAAAGTGTGATGTGTGTACCAGCAGCAACAGCACTACCTAGTTAAAAAATGCACAATCTCAGGGCCTACCCCAGACCTACTGAACTGCATTTTAAAAAGCTCTCAAGGTGATTCTTGTGCATAAAGTTTAAGAAGCACTGGACTAGCTCATCGTGTGTGCAAAGGGCTTTAAGTATCTCTGGTCACAGCTAGTAAATAAGGTGGTTGGGTTTCCAGAGGTGTCAGCCTAGGCAGTGAATGCCGGGCTGCTTGTTAGAAGGTTAGTGTTTTCAAGGCTCAGCCTCCATTATCAGAAAAGGGATAACTGTCTTTGCCTCCTCTAATTCTCAACCAGTCATGGTTCTGAACAATGAGCCAGCAGGCCCAGCTGCGTGGACCTGGGAAATCAGAAGACAGCCCCTAGCCTAACTGCTAGAACCCTAGTAAGGCAGAGGTCAACAAGGCCAGGAGAGTGATACCCTGTCACCCTGGGCCCTTCAGAAAGGAGGGAGGTATGCTGAAGCAATGCTGTGAACAAGGAGCATTCCCATGGGAAAAGAGCGTGGAACCATCTTATGAAGAGGCAAGGAATGAACCATTCATGGGGGATCTGCTCTGTCAGGCATACCACAGTGTTATTCTCCACAGATCAGGCCAGAGACAGAAGCAGCTGACCAGAGACCATAGCATTTCCAGGTTGGACAAGGGTCCCCTAACTGGAATTGCCAGGTCTCCCATGCAAACCTTCTGCCCGCCCTCCCCTAGCCCACATTGACTTACTTGTGATTCCTCTTTTCTTACCTAAGAATCCTATGAAATAATAGGCGTTATTTGGTTTTCCTCCTAATGCCCCTAAAGACTGTGGCATCTTAAAACACTCCTAGAGGGAAAGACAATGCAAGATTCTCAATTCACTTGTGGACTGCTGCTCACGGATCTCTGTGCTCACATGGCAATGTGATGGGCAGGCGACAACGGGCTTGGAAAAGGGAGTGACTTACTTTGAATGCATCAACATAGACAGGATTGATTTGGTTTATGCCCAGGCGGAGGGGCACAATGAGCAGCAGGGGTTTCCAGGCTGGGCAGCAGGCAGAGGTGGCTTTATTGTGGTTCGGAGGATTCAGAGGGTCATAGGGTCTCTCACTGGGCATGCCAGCACTCAAGGGAAGGACACAACACATTTTTTCTAGAAACAGAAGACAAGAGAGCTGAGTAAATCAGGGATACCCAGCCCTAGGAAATATGCCAAGGGCAAAATTAAGGGACACCTCACATGACACCCCCTGCCTGGAAGACCTTCTACTCTCCCAGTAGGACCCACCTCATCCCACCTCCCATGGGAATCCCCGGCCACTTTTCCAGCCTTTACATCTTTTCCTGCTTGCAATTGAGCACTCCCTTACCTCCTGTCAGATACTATGTGCTCACTGAAAGAATCTCATTTTCTCAACTAGAATGCAAGGGCCTTTGGGACATGGACGACTGTGTCTTTTGGTTTCTTTAACCCCATAGTGGGGAGCACAAGGCTGGATTAGGATCAGCCTCCACAGAAGACTTGGTGGTGGTGTAATTGATTATCCACACTTTGGGTGTCCTGCAGGGAAAAGGTCCGGTACTGCACTAAGGAGCAGCAAAGATCCTCTAATTGTTTTCTCCCTTTCAGAAAGTTGAAAGGAAAGAGAAAATAGGGTTCAGGGGATGATTATTAACCAGAGTCCTGTGCTCCCATAAGTTCCTTTGCCCTGGTGGAGCAGGCCAGAGAGTAGGGGTGCATGTGCATGTGTACATGTGTGTGGTGTGCGTGTGTGTCTATCTGTCTCTGTTTATCTATACATCTATCATCTATCTCTCACCCCCAGTTTTGGAACGGTGAGGAAGGACCTCATCACCCACCACCCAGAAAGTTAAACAGGCTGGGGACTCACTGATATCTTCAATGACCACTGTGTTATCCATTGAAACATAAACAGCCAAGGAATTCCACTCATCAAATAAAGCAAGTTTTCTGTAAAGCAACACACAATGAAGTCACAATTTGGGAAGTTGGGAATTCCAGCAGGAAGCAACATAATCCATGCCCAGTGTTCTGAAGTCACTGGATACTGAGCCTCAGCAAGGAGGTTCAGGTTAGTTCCAGCTCCTTTGAGCAAACACTGAAACATTTTGTGTTCAGGGACCTTGAGAACATGCCACAAAGTCACAGTGTCTGAACCTTGAAAAGGAGACCCTGCTCTACAAAATGGAAAAGTATATCTCACAAGATGAGGCTACTTTTCTTGGGTAAAACGGAAAACTTACAAAACATCTTGTTTTCTTGCCTTAAATAAAAGATACTCTGATTTACTGCTTTTTTTTTCAATAAATACAAACTCATTAAAATGTGTATTTGTTTGGGAGCATAGATAATATAGAGAATAAGCTCCAGGACAAGAGAGAAAGAGGGAGAGGTGATCTTTTCTGTCCTTCCCATGTGCTATGAGAACACTGTTGGAGGACACCTGAGCTGCAGATGGCCTTGGGTGCGCAGATGAAGAGACAGAACATGCTGAGTTGCATGACCTAAGACATTAGAAAGAAAACCCCTTTCAGAGCTTATCTGAGGTCTGAACAAAGTATCATGATTATTTCTCCTTTATCTTCTTGTCTTTTTGCCAGTTTGAAAGAAAACACATTTAACCTGGCTACTCTGGGATTCCTGGGTAAAGTCCAGCCTCACTAGACAAAAGAAAAAAACAGTCTCCCAAACTGAAGTAGCTCCTAGAAAGAGGATCATTACCATTATACTTTTGGTTTACTTGTTTTAATATACTCTATTTTCCCCAAAGAATAATGAAAATACGTACTGCTGTTACGGATAATAAATAACAATTGAATCCGAACCCACTTAAATTCTTTTTAAAATTTATATTTCCATTTGATATTTTTGTTGGAAACCTCAAAATTGAGAAGAAAGAAGCAAATCCTGAGGAATATTTAAACACCAACCATTTTAAATTGGGATTTGGGCTCAGCACAGCTATTGTAACCTACACTTTCTACCCTGGGTACCCACAGTGGTTCCCAAAATACTGCCAAATCCTCACTCAGCAGAGTTGATGGTGTCCCAAAAGGCACTATAGACTAAGGTAAAAGTGGTTTCAGGCAGACTACACTGTGAGCAAAGATATAGGTTTCACCTGGGTCCACAGGAAATCCAGGCTACTCCCCTCACAAGAACACTTACAAAGCATTCTAGTTCTTTGAAGACTGATTAATAATTGAATCAGCACCCCATCTGTACTTTGCATGGAGCAGGTTTCACTGTTATGCTCCAGAGAACCCAGGATTGAAGCATGCTCCATCAAAGGAGATCCAATGATTTCAGTCTTCTGATGCCTAAATCCAGTCCCAGATTCTGGCTACCATTTTCATTCATTCATCGAATATTTACTAGACACTTATGTGTGCTGGGCAGTTTTATGTACTAGTGTTCCAACAGTGAACAGTACCAAATACAACTACAACTCTGCCCTCATGGAGTTTTCATTTGGTGATATGTTGTGAGGAACTAGAGTGACAACAGGTGAGATGGCCTGCAGGTGCAGGTCCTGATGCCTCTCACCCTATTCACTTACAAAACATCAGTCCTGGCCTCTCCACCTTGACCCTTGCTGTGGGAGGTAAATTCTGGGATTTAACAGAACAAGTGCAAAAGTATTAGGTTGGCCAAAAAGTCCATATGGTTTTTTCCATAAAGTAAATGACACATTTTTCCTTTTCACCAATAACTTTATTGATTTGGATATTTTGAGTATGTCAGCTATCTCCCACATGGTATAATGTTGATTGTTCTCAATTAATGTCTTGATTTGGCCACTATCAACTTCAATTGGTCCACCTGACTATGGAGCAACATCCAGCAAGAAATCTCCAGCACGAAACTTTGCAAACCACCTTTGACACATTCAATCAGTCACAGCACCTTCTCCATATACTGCACAAATTGTTTTGCATTTCAGTTGAATTTTTACCTTTCTTGAAATAATAAAGCATAACATGCTGAAAATGTTGCATATTTTCTTCCATCTTCAATATTAAAATAGCTACATAAAAATTCACCAATTCTGAAAATGATTTTCATACACACTGATATGACATCTGTCACAATACAATCTAACAAAATTGTTTTGAATGAAGCTAAAGACAGCTAAGTGCTACTACAGCCATCTTATGGAAAAAAAAACAAACAAATTTTTTGGCCAACCCAATATAATGCTTGGGTGCCTGAAGTCTGCTAAGAGACCACGGACTGACTCCAAGATTCACTTGGGGTTTCTCTACTCCAACAAGTCATGAGTTCCTTGAGGCAAGGACTATGCCTAGTTCATTTCTATACACCAAGCACTTAGTATAGTAAAGGTACCCAGTAAATGTTGAGTAAATAAATAGATGAATGAGTGGGTTTTAAATACTCTACAGGGTGGGAGTCCATGTCTTGCCTAAGCTGGCTCAGCCTCCACTACTTAGTATGAATATTTTGGCTTCAAAGTGACTTTCATGCTAGTGCCTCCCCAGCACCCATGTGTAGGCTGTGTAGGAAATACTGAATGAGTCCTGATGTGCCACCACATATACTTGTAGTAATGACTATAACTCTGATGTACCAAGACAGTTGTGTCCTGTTACACATTTCAAAGAACTGTCTGAGCAATACGGTATAGATTTTTGGTGGCTTAGTGTGATGGCAAGAATAGTAAGACTGATGGAACATTGAGTTGGCAGAGGAGGGAGGCATAAGAGACAGTATAATAAAGTGAATGCCAGACTCTTTTACTTACTTTAACACCTGTGCGACTGTATTTGGTCCAAACCATTCACCAATTGACTTCCCTTCTCCTACACCCATTTGTGCTGTTTTTAAGTGGAAAGAAATAAACAAGTTAGGAAAAGGTCTTCCAGCATGCCACAAAATCCTATTTTTTTTTTTTTTGCCTAAGTAACTAAACAGATGGACAGTTTAGTGGAGCCACATGCAAGGCAGGGAATTCGGGGAGCAGTTATTGTCATTAAACCACTGATGTGACCTTACCCATTTGATGAATAGAATAGCAACAGTCTTTTCTATCTAAGAAGCACTGTAGGATCCGCTGGTATTCTTTGGGTTGTTCTTTTTGTTTCTCCCAGTTCCAGTCTTTTAGGGGAAAAAGATGAGTTAAGTAATTTTTATAATTGCTTATTACTTCTCTGAACTCTTGTTATAACTACAAGGTTAGAAGGACAACAAAAAAGGCTGTATCTGAAAGCCAGGAATGATCAACTTAGAAGGTTCCTAAAAAACTTGAATTTTGATCACAAAGACATCCGGAAACTGATTATTTTCAAAGACTTGATGGGTGTAAAGCAAGAGTAAAACAAGAACTTGACCAAGGAATGGACTTAGCCTCAGGGCTTGAGCTAGATAAATATATGAAAACAGTCTCACAAAGGCCTTTCTGGTCAGGCTGTCACACAAAACTGGGCAATATATCTGTATATCACCCAGACACCAGTGTCTCATCTTCACACAAACAGTAAGAGCTTTGTCCTTATATTCTGGCAGCATTGCCAGTAAAGTCTCATGGGGGGCAAGTGCTATTCTGACACACAACAGTTCACAGGGGAATATACACAATTTAAAGTGAAGGAAGCTTTAAAAAACTGTCATGCTACCATTTTTACACAACCTTTAAAAAGTCCACACTGAGCTTTGGAAAAACAAATACCTTTGCTATCGTCATTCAAGGTTTTCTTACGACCAAAACCAAAATAATCAAATCAAGAGGAATCCCATTCATGCCTTAGACACCATACCCCGAGTCCTACAAAGGCTACTTATTGCTACTGAGGACAACTGCAAAAACTTGCTATAATCACTGCTGTGGATGGGATGCACTACTCCCATTCCCGCAGCTCTAAGGACTCTGTCTACTGGGACAGAATTCTGAGTCTTAATTTGCTTACAAGACTCTCCTGAGGTATTAGAGAGACTTTGAATTCACAATTGGAATATTCTTGAAGCCAAAGGCCATTGTTTCAAGAGTCTTCCATTCTCTTTGCTTCTAGTATTTCTGAAACCAAAGTTTTGAACTTCATATTCAGCACCAACTTCAGAGGGCAAACTATACCCAGCGGTTTTTCATCGGCTACCAAATTGTCCAAGTCTGGAGAAATCTTGATTAGCTGGCTGCAAGTACCACTAAAAGGTTTCTGATGATGGTGATAAGTAAAGACCTCACCTCAATAATCAAATAGAAGACACTCCAAAATACTTCTTTACAAAATTACACCTTCTAATTTATCTTTGCTACAAGACCTATCCCCCAATTCTTCCTGTTACTTGCTTTTACATTAAAACAATTGAAACAGCGGAATGGGGTTCTTTCTTCCAGTTTGCTTTTCACAAAATTCACTTACAGAAGTGTCATCTTAAAGTGTTTTATAAATAAGAAAAAGTTAAATAGTAAGAACAAGTCTGCTCTAAGAAATATGTGTGCCACAGAGAAATCTCTGGTCAAGGAGACAGAAGATTTGCATTGTATTTCCAAATCTATGCTTTCTTGCTGTTGGACTCTAGGCAAGTCACCTTACTTCCTAAGACTCAGTTTTTTCATCTGTTAAACAGAAAGCAGGCACAGGATATCTTAAACCCTTAAAAACAGGCTTTAGGCCCTCAAACCTCCCAGACCCTCCTGCAATTGTCAGTGATAATAGCAGCAGAGTGTGTGAGGCTGTGCAGTGGGAAAAAGGAATAATGTTTCCATGCCTCTGATCTCAATGAGTTCAAGAGCCCAATCTCATTCAAGGTGTCCTTTCACTCCCTCCTGCTCAAGTTGAACCAGACTTTCACCCAATTGCCTACACATGGATGTCCATGCATCGCTGGCATCCAGGTCAGAGTCAGCCTACAGATAGATACCCATGGGGAAACACACAGGTTTTAAGAAAGCAAGACTTAAGAGTTCCAAAAGTGATGAGTGAAACATTCTTTTTAAAAAAAAAAATATTTATTTATTTTTAGAGAGAGGGGAAGGGAGGGAGAAAGAGAAGGAGATAAACATCAATGTGTGGTTGCCTCTCATGAGCCCCCGACCGGTCACACGGCCTGCAACCCAGGCATGTGCGCTGACTGGGAATTGAACCGGCAACCCTTAGGTTTGTAGGCCAGCACTCAATCCATTGAGCCATACCAACCAGGGCTAGTGAGATATTCTTAATGAAATGCCCTTTTGAGGAAGCTAATTTAAGGATCCCTTAATTATCATCAAATGAACATCTTTAGTGAACCAAAAGCAAAACAGCACTAGCTCCCTCATTAGACACTTCCTTTATGTCATTTACATCCTTTGGCAGGCACATACTTTAAATGAGGTCAAGAAACAGACTTACCACCACACCTTTCCTCCTGCTCCCTTTGTTATCTGACCTGTTTAAGGACCCAGTCAAACACTAGCAAAGATGGAAATTAATGACACACCTGCCTCAATGTTCAATTGTGTCCCAGGAAAATAACTCTCTGGCTTGGTAAATTACAAGGAAATGTCACCTGTTTCCTTCTCATGGGAGACTTTGTCAACTTATCACCCATACCACTTGAGCTTACAGGGAACACTTTAGGAACTGCTATGGCTCTGTTAGTGAGTGTTCCTCAAGTTCAGTACCAATGCGAAACCACCAGCAGTAAGCGCTACTGAAGAGATCTCTAAGGCAGTATAGAGAGCAAACTTAACTCACCCCTTCCCAAATGTCTGCAGATAAGAGCTTGAGCCAGCATCATCTGTCCACAGCGCAGCATACACCCCCAGCCAGCATCTGACGAAGGGCCTGTTCCCCCTGTTGGCAAAATGGAGGGCAGTGAATATGAGCTCTTGAAATTGCCCTTCCACCAAACAATCAGCATACCTGTGGATCACACAAGACAGACCGACACACATACCCTGAAAACAGAGGCAAGAGATATAGCTAGATATCAAACAGGGTGTGTTATAGGGTGGAACTTGCAAAGTTAATGCTGAGTTAACCAAAACAGATTTTATGGCCAAAAACAAAACAAACAAATGAACAAAATCTACCCCTTATGTTTTCTACTTGGAGACTTCTACGTATACATGCAATTTTGGTAGATGGCTGCCATGTATGACTATGGACACTTAGTCCATCCCATATCACCATCTGGCTGATAAAACCTGCCTTTGCACAGCTCACCTCTCAGAGAAACTAGTCTTTTTAAATTGAATTTATTGGAGTGACATTGGTTTACAAAAGCATACAAGTTTCAAGTGTACAAATCAACAAAACATCATCTGCCAACTATATCATGTGCCCATTGCCTCAGAGTGTCTTTTGTGCCTACTTTCTTTTCCTTTACCCACCTGTACCTACCCCTACTCCCCTTTCCTTATGAGTATCAACACACTGTTGTCTGTGTCTCTGTGTTTTATATATATATATATGTGTGTGTGTGTGTGTGTGTGTATTTTTTTTTAATTCTTTCACCTTCTTTCATCCAGCCCTCAATCCTCATCCCCACTGACAACTGTCAGTCTATTCCATGTAGCCATGTTTCTATTTTGTTTGTCAGTTTATTTTGTTCATTAGATTCAGGGAAACCAGTCTTACCTTAGTTAACAAATAAATGCTACCAAAGGCAATCATCAAAATGGTCAAAGAGATCTGGAAGGCTCTTGACTGTTCCAAATGTATATTATAGAGATATGAACAGCAAGAAGGACAATGTAAAACGAGGAGAGTCTTAAATTAGGCATCAGAAGACCAGTCTCTAGTAATGCAAATTATGGAATGTAAATCTTATCTATAGACTTGGGATAATAGCATATATCCTGCCTATCGTTAATGGGTATTCTAAGAATTAAATGAGAAAGTATCTGTGGAAGTGTTCTACAACCCAGTAAGGATAATGTAAATATTTGGTGATATCAGTAAGGTCACAATTAAGAGTGCTATTAATAAATTAGAAGTGTACTTCATCTTTAAGTGGCATAAAACTAGTTAATAAATAAAATAAGAGAAAGAGTTCCATTTTAAGAACACTTGATATATCAAAAATCCCACATATGTGGCCAGGGTGAGCTCAGTATCTTTTTTCATGGCACCAGTGAAATCAGATAACTTGGATGGCAGAGGAGATATTCTGCTTTCATTTCTTTTCTTTCCCAATATGGAAGTGGAAAAGTATGCCATAAGCATGATCACAAAGAATACTGTATTTTGCTGTGTTTAAAACACTTTTTTTGTCTGCATTTTGAGGGAAAAATAAGGATGTGCATTATACATAGGTAGTTCTAATTCTGTAGCTAAATAAATGTTTTTTAATTCTTTTATTTATGCTTATGCATTAAAAGTGTAACTCCTGAAAGCAATAATGATATCTGTATGCAAAATAATTCCCTGGAATACGATAACTGGTTTTGTTCCTAAATATAAATAAGTAAAACATTGAATTAAAAAATTTAAATGAAAGATATTTTTCCTGAAAGTTTGGGCCAAAAACATGGGTGCACATTATACATGGGAGGGAGCGCATTATACATGGCAAAATATGTTAACTTTAAAGGGGGCCATCAAGCTTATAAGACCAGTGGGCCACAGTGGCTGTCCCTTTCCTTTTGTTGTGGGGACTGAAGATTTGCTATAGCAACAAGAAGAGGGTTGAGCCTATTTGTGAGCTGGAAGGGGAGTTCTTTATCTTTTGCTCATTTTGGGATTATTGGCCTGATTAGTGTGGAAAAGATGCTATGAAGCCCACATAAAGAAGAGAGCATTTATTGCTAAAACGTTGTCAGAGTTGAACTGTAAATGTTTTCAAGACTTGCAAAAACCTCTCCACCCAGAGAAAGTTAACAGTTTAGAATCACTGGGTACCAAAAATTGTTCTTTTGTTTGTTTTATGGATAAGGTATTTCCTGTGGAGGGCAAAAAAAAATTTGTCTGTATGGACTCCATTTTTGGTACTTATCAGAAAGGTGGATCTGACACTAATTACTAGGTCCAGTACTGCACCAGAATTGGTCAGCCAGGTTTCCTGCTAGGAAAATAGCTTCCACCATTTGGGTTTGGTAATCTTTTCATACAGGGACATGATACTAGGAATAGGTAGGTCACCCTACTTGCAAACATTTTGCAAATTTTCTCTAGAGAGAGCCTGTTCACTTAGCTCATTAAACTGTCCTTTCTTCTAGACAGCAGCTGGTACTCTAACAGCCTAGTATTAGGTCCAAGTGGCCTAATTATCTCCCAGTGGCAAGGTGTTTTCATTTCATAGGAAAAAACAATCAAAATAATTATTTTCTTTCCTTCAGGTACAGTTGTCTCTAATAATCAAGAAGCTGCACAAAGCAGTAGATTATAATTTAATAAACACTGCTCAAACCAAAAGTGACTTTTTCCTTACTCTCAGAAGTAAAATAAATAATACTATCCAGAGCCTGAACACTTAGAGGTGGGCTCAAAACAATACTGGCATTATACATTCACACTATGGAGACATACATGACGAGGTACCTTGACAATGAATCTTTTGCATAAAGTGTAAGACTTAAATACTCCCCTAAATCAAATTCTTAACCATAATGAGCTGTTAATTTGGAGGTTTCTATGAAGTCACTGATAACTTCAAGCAAGCTATCTACAAGGAAGAAAGCACAGTACAACAAATGATATACCTACCAATTGGTGAAAATTTCCTTCTGTATGTAAACCATAGACGAGCACTTATATCAGACAACAGCTTAGATTTTTCTGTAATTAAATGTGAAATTCAAATTAAATTACTATATCTCATATTTGCCTTTGATTTCTGAGCTAGCAACAAACTCATTTTCAAATAACTAGTTAATTCTATTGTTTTGGGGCTAGGGGAATTCATAGGAAATCCAATCTCATTTTAAACAAATAACTTCAGCATTTCTTCCTACCTATGTTTTGACTAGAGCCACTGAGTATTACAATGATGCTGTGTGGTTCTTGTCTCTTTTTCAATGAGCTCCATGGCTCTGGCGGGTACTAACACTGGGTCATGGCCAGAAGACAAGGAATAGGATAAGCAAGGACACTGAATAACTCACTAACAAGGCAATTTAGCCCCTGCTTGAATGATGACAATTGATTGGATCTGTCATTAGTATTCATTGTCTGTTATCTAAAACTGGGTGTGGGTGTGTGGGAGGGGTGGCACACAGGTGTACACATTTAACTAAAAAGGAAATGTCCCTGTTAAGCAAATTAAGCATGTAAGAAGTATATCAGTACCACCTAGAGCAGGGTGTCAAGCTCATTTTCACTGGGGGCCACATCAGCCTTGCCATTGCCTTCAAAGGGCTGAAATAATTTTAGGACTATATAAATGTGACTACATGTTAACTCTTAAGGAGTTGAAATCACATTAGGCCATTTGAAGGCAAATGCGAGGCTGATGTGGCCCCCGGTGAAAATGAGTTTGACAACCCTGACCTAGAGCAACTGGCATTTATAACCTAAATGGATGTATAACATCATAAAAAATTATATCTTTTTTGAAAGCTTGCTTTCTTGTATTTTATGACAAATTTAATTTGATGGCCACAAATATGGCTTCCATATTCTCATTGGTACTTAGATGTGGTTCTATCTTAGTCTTCTCTCTTCCCCTTTTTAACAACATAGCCATGCTTGTATTCTGTGTAGAACTTATAGCCATTGCATTTAAAAAAAAAAAGGAAATTCAATTTTAGCCTATAGTTTCTATTTTCTGTTCTGCCTTTCCTTTGAACTAATCATAAAATTGAACTGTCCAGATTTTCCAGCCCTTTCATGCCCAGAATGTCCAGCACATTTTGGGAAGCAGATGTCTAAAGGTTAAGAGAAAGATTCTTAGGAGTCAAACTCCTTTGGGTTTGAACACTGACTCTGCTACTTACCAGTTGTGTAGCCTTGTCACTACGATTCACTTTCCTCATCAGTAAAATGGGGAGGATAATAGTACCTACTCCATAGGGCTGTGAGCATTCAACAAGTTGATACATGGAAAATGTTTAGATGCTACAGTATGCAGTAAGCCTGTGATAAATGTTACATACTATTATATATACTTCCTCTCAAAATGTTCAGATCAGTCACTCTTTCCTCTGATATTCTCTATACCTCTCAGTTTGCCTATATGCTAGAACAGCTGGGGAAGTTATATGGACATCTTAAGAATTTCACTTAAAAGGCATTTTCTAACTGAACATTTGAATATGGGCATGTTTGACAATCTAGAGATTTCTGTTGTCATGGAATACAGAACTAGAAGAGATGATCTCCAAGCCCTTCACCGTATGTGCTAGTGAAGGGAGTTAAACTCCAGAAAGAGCAAGTGATTTATCTAAGGCAGGAGAAAAGTCTGAACAGAAAGATTCTCCTAATTGCTATCCTTGAGTATTCTGCCCTGTTTAGGATTTGCCTATCAAAATGATGAAGCCAGATTCAGGAGCTACAAAATACCCAACTTCCTCTCCTGCCTTTTGATCAGCTTCTTCCTGTTTTTCCCTCTATCCTATGGCCTTTTCTCAAACAGATACAAAATCAGAACTGTCTCTCCAAGCTCAGGCTTTATCTGAGTGCAAGGTAGCAGTTTTAGGTTTAAAGGTCTTTCCCAATCTACAAGACTGTAAAGGTAAGAAAGAAAAACTGAAGCCTCCTCTCCATCTATCTAGCTACAATAGCTGTAAGTTCTATATAAAATCAGGATAAATTAAGGCAGAACTACAGTCAACAAAATATCTAAAACTACAAGACTTCTCAGTGTCTGATATTGTTTCAGACAGCCATGGACTGTTTAGAAGTCTTCTGAGTGATAGCGTTTTTAATCTAGACAGAAAAGGGCATGTGAGGAATTAAAAGTATGTAGCCCAATCAGCAAAGACTAGATACTAGTAAGTGATACCAGGAGTGGCTCCATACTTTTTTGGGACCTAAGGCTTATAGAATTCAGGGGTTCTTATTTAAGGAAAATAATACAAATATGTGATTTTTCACATTGTACAAACACTTAATGACGGTGTGAACATGCAAAACTGGCCTCTTAGGGTCTTGGAAGGGGCCTGTGCAAGTGAAGGGCCTAAGGCTGAAACTCCTTTTGTTGTATGATAAATCTGCCTAGGAGTAGAATTAACAGGTTTCAAGGTAATGTTCTGCCAACTCAAGGAGGAAAAACATATAGGACCTTAACCTCAAGCACCCACCTCATTTTGGGTCTCACAGACAAATGTTACCAAACCTTACCTGTTTTTGTTTTGTGTTTTTAAACCTTACCTGTTTTAAGGAGATGCTGTTTCCCCAAGATCCATACCAGCTCATCTGTGTCTGGAAATTCTTCTAGGTAGTCAGTGAAAATAGTAATCTGGTTTTCATACTTGGATAAAACTGAAAGAAAACAAACAAACAAAAAACAGGAAAATTTAACAGAAGGGGTTTGCTTGTGTAGTTCACTGATTATTACCTTTGTACTAAGGGTGAAAGGCCATGGGCTTCAATCTAATGGAAGCAAATTATTTTTTATTTTTTAAAAAAGATTTTATTATTTATTTTTATAGATAGGGGACGGGAAAGAGAAAGAGAGAGAGAGAAACATCAATGTGTGGTTGCCTCTCGTGTACCCTCTACAGGGGACCTGGCCTGCAACCCAGGCATGTGTCCTGACTGGGAATTGAATTGGTGACCTTTTGGTTTGCAGGCCTGTACTCAATCCACTGAGCTACACCAGCTAGGGCCAAAGCAAATTATTTTCTTTGAGGAACAAGGACAGTCACAAGGCTGCAAAATCCTTCAGCAGGGTTATTTCCTCTTGATCACCTCTTTTGACCTGGTCCTATTTGGCACCATGTCTTAATACTTTTTTGGCCACAGTTATCTCAAAACCTTTTTTCTCATGGGGCCTTCTTTGTAAATAGCCACTTATCTAGCTTTTCTGAAGGTGAGTGTATCAAGATAATGCAGTACTATCTGAATATCTAACTCCTGCTTATGTCACAGGGAATATTGTGAGGTTTCTAGTGGCTAGTGGCTTGGAAGGGTCAGCCTGAAAGATTATACAACCGTGAAAATGTAGTATTTTAGCTGGAAGACTAAATTTTTTTAAGTTTAATAATAGTTTTCAATTTTTATTATTTTTGACATTGTTATATTATTACCAAAAAACTCTGTTGTATTTACTTAATGGATTTATAGCATGTTTACAAGTCTGGACAGTTACTTAACAAATCTAATCATTAACAACAACAACAAAAAATCCCAATATTTGAAAGTATCATGATAATAAAGTTGTATTTTAAATGTTTTGATGGTACTTTTATTTGCCATTTTACTCACATATGACTTCTTCAAAGAAAGATCTTATGGATGATGATAAATACAGGGTGGGAAAAAAGTAACTTTATCATTGTGAGTATGCAGAACACAGGGTTTACTCTCACATTATTATTTATTAATTATTGTATTATTTTCCATACAAACAACTGTAAACATATCTTTGCCCCATCCTGCATAACTTCTTCTTGGGATTCACCAATGACTATGATAATCTCTCAAAATAAAGTAAGATATACCTATATCTATATCTATCTATCTATATATTATATATATAATTAAACCTCATAAGATCACATGCAAAACTCTTAGAACTTATAACCATGTAATGTAGGAGGAGTTAAAATTCACTTTTGTACTACTATGGGGAAAGCGTCTGCTAAAGTAATCAAGACTGACTTATGAAGGGGTTTTATCTCAAAAGGTCTCTAAGTAATTTTATGAGGGAAATAATATTGTAGACAGTAAATAAGCTTCCAAGGCAGCCCACAAAAACCTATTTAACCTACAACCAGGAAAATCAAATTGATAGTATATTTCATAGGTTATGGTGTTATATCTGTAAGACCTATAATATACATCAAGTTCAATACTAAGACACCCAACACATACCTTCTCCTCTCAGCTCTCAGAGTCTCCCCATCCCCTGTGGGGAGCAAAACTCAGAGAGAGTAAGGGCCCTTCTGTGCAGCTACAAGCAGCTGCGGGGACTCTCCGAAAGTGATTGCTAAGAACCCCATGTGAATGGTTTCCTATAAAAATGGCATTGTGGGATGTGTTTAACTCACTTGAAAGAACAGATTGTTTTCTAAGGCAGGAGCATACTCTTTTCATAGAAACAAATGTTTCTAAATATAAATGGGTCATATCTGGTCATGGAAACAGGTTCATCTGCTCAAAACACTTAGTTGGGGTTGAAGTTTTACTTTACATAATTTATACAAGTTGCAGTTATAATTTGCTTGAAGTTATAACTTTAGAAACACAGCTACCCAGGTATACTGCCTTTCTTGAAACATTACAGAAGTCTAATGTTTCAGGGATTTAATTAGCCTTTCTCCTCAAGATGTTTTCATTATTAAGGTTATAGTTTTGGCAGTATTTCAAAGATAAAGAAGTTGGAAATGAGCCAACCACTTTTTTCCCCAATGAAAACTCATCACTGCCAAATATTCCTGAGAGCCAGTGCTATCTTAGCCTTTCTGTCACTGGCCTCAGTCCTTGGTCCATGTCCAGGAAATACCAGGCTAAAAATGATTGCCCAGGTCAGGCATCCCCAGGAGGTGGTGGACTCAGGTGGTGTAATATCACACTGTGTACCATCCACCCTACTCTCTACCCCTCACAGGCTGGAGGATTCAGGTTAAAATGAATATCCAGTATATCCTAGAAAGAAAAAAAGTCAGAAAATATGTAGCTTGAGAGGAATGTGGGAAAGAGGTAGCCTCTCTGGCATTTCTCTGATTGGGGGGAGGAAGGGTGGCATTGGATGAATGTATAGAATTGATGTGATATAGGCCTTGGGTCTCTCTTTAGTACTTGTTTAAAAAAAAAAACATATCTATCACCATCCCTGTCTCAATGTCATGGCCTAGCTATCCTGTCAAATTAGTACCAGTGCTTAAAGCCTGTGATCACTGTGCTGCTTCCCTTGGGGTGACTCTGACCAAAATGGTAGCCAAAGAATTTTCCTCTTCCTCTTCAGCTCATCTCAGGCCAGCAAGAAAGTCACTATTGTCATTATTCTATTTAATCCTTCTCTTCCTTAGACAATATATTCCCAGAATGCATTGTGTCAGACCAGGGCCAACTCAAGTGGAAGCTACGCGGTGAAACAAATGAAAGCCAGAACAGGGGATGAGACTAACAGAAGCAAAGAGCAGTAACATAACAGAGTATGTATAAGGAGGTCTAGGGAGGAAACAGAAATAGGTCTTCCACAAGGAGATCTCAGGGAGATGAAGAAGCAAACTGGGACATGGTTGAGATTTGGAAGAGAAACTGAATTTCCAACAGAATCACTTCTGACAACAGTAGGACCCCCTTATTGTGGTTTTGATTTCTGCTGGATCAGTTATCTGCAGTCAACAGTGGTTGGAAATACTAAATGAAAAATTTCAGAAATAAGCATTCATGAGATTTAAATTGATACCACTCTGTGTAGCATGACAAACTCTAGCTCCATCCTGTTCCATCTGATAACACAGGGATCTGGTGAGATCGCTGAGGAGAGGGAAGGGATCCTGAGGTGGGGTGTGACAGCCTGTGTTCCCGATGGTAAGGGAGAGGTCAGGAAATGCCAGAGGTGGCAGGACTGAAACCTCAGAGTGTTGTGTGACAGATTAGCATATCCCCAGGTCAACGATAAACAGGCAAGTGCACAGGTGTTGCACTGACCCCGCAACTGAGCAGCACAGTGTGATACAGCGGGAAGAGGCCCCTGCATGGAGCATGCACCAGACTAGTGAAGTGTTTGGAAAGAGGGAAAAAGCCCTCTTACTTACTTCCAGAGTGCATGGAATTTTCAGACCAGAGATTTAAATAGAGGGCAGACAGAGTCCCTGTCAAAGGGAGCAGAGCGCTCGCATACTGGCAGGCACTAGAAGCTGTTTGGCCAGGTGACAGGCCTGGGGCCCCTCCCAGCGCAGAAAGTAGTGGTGGTGTAGGTGACTAGTGTGGCACAGTCCTACTCAGTCAGGTGCATGGATGCTCCAGCAAGCCAATGGCCTGAGGGATGGGGCACAGGGGGTGGGCCAGCATGAAGCAAGCAGAAGGGCAGACAGCACACGACAAGTAGGGCACTCATGCACACAGATTCCAGAAAGATGCAGACTCCAGGAAGATGCCTGAAGCCAGCCTGCAACTGGGAACTATCTAAGCCACCTGGATGGTCACGCTGTAGCCACCTGTGTTTCCTTTTAGGATGGTATTTATTTATTTATTTATTTTGAAGATTGTATTTAGTTTAGACAAGGGAAGAGAAGAAGAAAGAGAGGGAAGAAAAACATCAATGTGTGGTTGCCTCTTGCACTACCCCTACTGGGGACCTGGCCTGCAATCCAGACATGTGCCCTAGACTGGGAATCGAACTAGTGAGCCTTTGGTTCGCAGGCTGGCACTCAATCCACTGAACCGCACCAGCCAGGGCTCAAACAATGGTATTTTTAAATGGGAGAAGGAATTCCAGGTGCAGCCTTGAATTAATCTGGCAAAAGGTGGTGGGGGTTTTTCTTTGGGTGTTTTAGAGGGAATGGTTCTGAGATGGAAGCCTGCCATTCTTCCAAAATTGTGTGGTTTTTGAATAAATGGCCTCTTTCCTTTTTCACCAGACCTCTGCCTTTGGAGTTTGCCTATGGGAGGTGGGCAGTAGGACCCCATGATGTTCAGTAACAGTAATAGTAATGGCAACTCCGGTGGGATCCTAGCTGCCTGTGGCAGGCTGATACCCCAGGAGTTGGACTAGGGGGTTTCCCAATCTCTGGGAAATTCTCTGCACACCCACATGAGGCATTGGCTGCTTATGTATGCCTGGTAAGTGGAAAGGAAATGGGTCTGGGTAGGGCATAGACTCTCAGAAGGGATGAGGATCACCTGAGTTTTGGGTCTGTGAACCAAGGTCCTGGTGAGGACTGGCCAAGTTTTGGGAGGCCATTGTTTGGAGGCCGCTGTTTGTGAGATTGGTTAGTAGAAAACTTGCTTGTGAGCACTCATTTGGAATAATCGAGCTGTGGGTCCAAGTTCTGCTTATATGTTCCCAGTTTGCCTACATTCTTTTGGTCATAGCTTTTGGCCTGTACATCTAGGACAATAAGGGCTTTTCTGTGTTGGCTCCTGAAGGAAGCTCACTGAGTAGAATTTTAGCAGACTGGAGCATATACAGCCATTATCCAATGTCTAAGGAGGAATGGGTTCTTTATTGTAATACTGTGTGGCCTATGTATATTTTAGACTGCAGGAGAAAATGGCCCCTAAATGGTTCCTTAAATTACTGTACCATCATTCAATTAGAAATATATTGCCAACAGTTAGACAAATGGGATGAAATCTGTTATGTCAAG